GAACTGTGGTCAGACATGTGGCAGTCCAGTGCCTTAACCACCATACCACCTGCCAGCCCAAAGTCATAAATTATTAAGTGAAAGCCCTTTAAAAAAATGCAGACTAATTTGGTTTGAAGTGATCAATGGCAACTCTCTCTGTAAAAATTTATCTCGTGGGAACCAGCAGTTAGCATAATGGCTATGTCGCTGGACTCCCACGTAGTCGACTGTGGTTTGCGTTTCAGACCCGGTGGCTTAAAACTCATGCTGGGTGCGTGTGCGTGCGTGCCCAAGATCCCGAGAGGAGAATGGAGGAGAAGGGATTGCGGCATGACCATCCCCCCTGGGGGGTGATTTCTCGCTTTCTGTCTCTATGTCTCTCTCTGTCTGTCTGGCAAGCGCAAGTGCCCTACAGTGAAAACCTCTGAAAAAAAAAATTAACCTCATAATTTTTTTTTTTAAAGTTTTTACCATAGGGCGCATGCACTTGCCAGAGAGACACTCACAGAGAGAGAAAAAGTGAGAAATCATCCCCTGGTGGGGATGATTATGTTGCGATCCATTCTCCTCCATTCTTTTAGGGATTTTGAGCATACATGCACACTTACAGTTTGTTTTTCAAGCAGCCACGTCTGGAACTCTAACCATGGTCAGCCATGTGGGAATCCAGCACCTTAACCACCCTGCCACCTGCTGGTCCCATAACTTGTTCTTTATCCCACACAGGGAGGTACTTTAGAGCTCAGCAACACAAAAAGGGTGTATGGTCTTCTTTCTTTCTTTCTTTCTCTTTTTTTTTTTTTTTTTAAGATAAATTTTTGGTTTAGGGCATGTGCAGTTGTCAGAAGGACAAGAAATCACCCCCAGGGGGAGGGCCACCCTGCAAAACCTTCTCCTCTGTTCTCTTCTCAGGATTTTAGGCACACATGCACATGCACCCTGCATGAGTTTCAAGCTGCCGAGTCTGAGACTCAAATCACAATCGACCACGTGGGAGTCCAGCAATATAACCATTATGCCATCTGCTGGTCCCTGGTCATCTTTCTTAAATTTGGCATGTTCAACCATCACTTTGTGAGAAAAGCCACTAGAGTGACAGGTAACATGTGAAAGCAAAATTTTTGAATAATTGTGTCATTTTAAAAAGAATTAAGGGTCGGGGACCAGCAGTTAGCGTAATGGCTATGTCGCTGGACTCCCACGTAGTCGACC